AAAATAATTATTAGTTAGTAATATAAAATAATGAATAAGAATATTTTTTAATTGATTTCGCCCCAAGTAAGGCTGTAAAGCCACTAAAACGCAAGGGTTTACTGGACGTGGAAGAATTAGAATACAGAAACTTTACGAAGGAGCAATAACAAAAGAAGTGTAATCAGGAGGGCAGTAGATAGCAAAACTCCTAACATAGAACTTATGGTTACATCTAATCAACTCAACTGTATATTAGTGAGATCTTGTTGCCAATCTAGGACTGTGCTTAAATTAAAAAAGACAAAGTACCATAGTGAAGATCTCGTCCGGACAGTTGCCAATGGTAGTATTTATAGAAAAGGCCCAGGGAGGCAACTTTACAGCGGTGGGAAAGTGACTGAACGACCAGTAATATTGCTGATTCTTTTCTTTGGATTTTATCAAGAATCTCTAAATATATAGCAGGAGCACTGGACCATATGTGGCAGCAATATTCAAAGCATGAACTAATGGTAAACTTACAGATTTGTAATAAAGATGCCGGGAAAATTGTCTAGCACGACACAGTGAACCAACTTTCTTAGCAGCTGACCTAGCAATGAATTCAATAAAATCTTCCCACTTCATGTCAGGCGAGAATGTTATCCCGAGAAAGCGCCATGAGTCACTCTCCTGGAGGCTAGCATCAGTTATTCTGATAGAAGACAGAAAAAGGTCTCTCAGATTATTAACAGAGAGTAGTTTTGTTTTGGAAGCGTAAAAATTGACAAGCCATTCTTTGCCCGAGTTAACAACAGACTGTAGGTCTTTTTTTTTTTTTTTTTTTAGATCATCTGCTAATTTGACCCTGCTGAACCGATCAGACTTACTCTCGAGACAGGAGTAAATGGTTGTTATCAGCATAGATACCAAATTGAGAAATGATGTCATCAGGAAGGTCATTGATGAAATTGAGGTCTCTAGATATATAGTGGAAGCACCCGGCCATATGTGGCATCAAAATTCTAAGCATAAGCGAATAGTAGACTACCAGATGTGAGTCCGCCCCCTCCCAAAAAAAGACATAGAACATGGATTTTAAACAAATAAGAATTAATGCATGTATTAATAAAGGAAAATTACAGAGTCAAAAAGAAAAAAAAAACAAAAACTAGACATTAAAAACTTAGATATTTAAGAATTGTGCGTGATTGTGTGTGTGACACACGTATTCATGTCTGTAAGACTTCAGTCGTTAGTCGACTGGGGAAAAGAGACGTTTCCCCAACTGCTACATCTTGGAACAAGAGGCAGAAAGAAGAGGAAGGAACTGTTTGTCTTTTTATAGAAGTGAAAAAGTGCCATTTAACGGCCGTTTGGCGAAGACAAGTGCAGTAACTCACATTAGTTTATTAAGAGAGCGTCACACCTCAAAAGAGACAAAGTTCCGAAAACTACTTAAGTTTCACGTTCCGCGATCGTCAGGCGACCAGAATATTCATTAGTCACTGTGTGTTTATCTAAAAATAAATACGCTTAAATTCACCTTCATCCCTGTCGTGTGTCAACGGCTTAGTGGTAGAATCCCCCGACTGACACCAATCCAGTCGGGTTTCGATCCTAGCTAGAGGCAACCGGACGTCTAGCCACACTGATGAGCTGTGATACAGCAAAAAAAGTCTGTCTGTGGATGACTATATATATATATATATATATATAGAGAGAGAGAGAGAGTCCACCAGTAAGATACACATTGGTTCCTGACCACTTGCAATTTCATTTAAATGCAGTTTTATAGTAAACAATTAGTATTGCTTTTATATTATAAACTGGCTTAAAGACCGCCATATCGGGCAGCTTTTAAGCTAGCTCCCGCAGAAGGCTCTTGATTGGGCCTTCATCAAAATAGTTAGGGAGTAGATGCGATAGGCAATAACAAACTACAGAAGAACTCAAAACTGATCGCTGCATTAATATTTAAGCTTACCTTTTAAAAGTTCAATGATAATTTTTCTGCCGCCATTTAATTTAAAGAAAATTTGATGCACGTAGGTCCTTCCTTTTCGTACAAACAATTATTTTTTTATTTTCTGGGTAACTTTCTTTGGCTTTTGCAATCAATTTCGATTATTCCAAAATTTATTTCTAAGATATAAAAATTGTTATCGTACAAATAATTCATCATAAAAAAAAAAAAAAAAAATCACGTAAAAAATCGCCGGAAACAATCGCAGTAAAGTAATGAAAATTGGGAATACAAAATTTCTGTAACATGAGCTATCGAAAGTTAGAGAGTTTTCTTTTTTTAATTGAAAAAAGTGCGAAACAGTGACACTCTGGCATTCATTATAGAGATATAATTGGCCGTTTGTGTCAATTTTCATTTGCACTTACTCTTGACCACTAATGATTGTTTTAAATGCGTTTCTATCGTACAATCAATAATAATGCATTTACGTGGATTATCAATAGCAGACCTACAATTTGGGAACCATGAAGTTTGGACAGATATGTGGACCCCTTCGTGACTTGTAACTAATGATTTGAGGATTCAGTTACCAGTTGCGTCCTGGGTATGACGATAAACTACATCCGCATCTTGGGTATGACAATAAACTACATCCGTGTCCTGGGTATGACGATAAACTACGTCCAACAGCAAGGTCTCTGATAATACGTTTTTGAAAAAAAAAAATGTTGCCAGCTGTATGTTTCTGAAAAAAAAAAATAATATTACCAGCTATACGCTTTTGGGAAAAAATATTAACAGAAATGGATTTTTGACAAAACAAAAATATTACCAGGAAAAAAAAGTTGTCGGCATTAAATGACCCATTGAGGTTGATATGCCGTAAAACGAACCAAACCAAAATGTAGGCTCTGAATAGATTCTGGCGTGCTCAACGAGTCCATACAGATGGGATAGGGCATTGCAACCCATCATGAAAATTTGAAATTTGACCAATTACAGGGGAAATTTTTTAGTCTATATTAAATGGATATTAGGCCATATTCTAGTATTAGATCATCTTCTAGTATTAGACTATTCTAGTATTAGAGCATCTTCTAGTATTCTAGAAGATTCTTCTAGCCACTGATCATGGCTTTCCACCACTGGTCATGGCTTTCCACAACCTCTTCTCTCTTAATGTTCTTAGCAAGGTTTGTCAATTACCATTGCGTGAGCTTGTATCGTCTGGCTTTCAGAGAGAAAGCAGTTTCTGCAATGGGCTCTTGCTTAATTTTTAAATTTCGAAAATATTTCTGGTACATTTTGATTAGTCGTAATTCAGCTGCGTTTGTTTTTCATCCAAAACCATTAAAGAGGGTTTCTCTCCAAATTCAGAGCAGTGTATGTGGAACCTATCTGTAAATTATTTAAGGAGGGCCTTGGAATTGATTTTCGGAAATGACGAACAAATGAATTCAGGTCGTCCCGGTCCAGAAAGAAAACAACGCCGAAGAATTTTGACAATCACCAGACGAGAATTAAAAGGAACATCAAAGTCGCTCCTATATCAAGGAAAAATATTCAGCTGGTGTGATTGTTCTATTCTTTGCTGTTATCACGAACTTTGCTTCAAAAATTGTACGAATTCCTTGAAAACCATTCAGAGAAGTATTTTCTCTTTTTCTTCATTTTATGTAGTTTTATTTTCCGAGTACCTTTTACGCAGCATTATAATTTTTATAATAAAAAAGACTAATTTATTTTCCTTGATAATTTACATACATGTTATTGGCAATCATTTGGCACACAATTCACTTAATCTGTGTAATTCATTTTTTGTGTGTTAATACACTTTTCGTATGTTTTAAAACTCAGCTCGGGTCGTCTGTCTTATAAAAATTGACAAAAAATAAAAATTAAACAAATAAAAATTGTCTTTGTTGTGTGCCCGTAAATTAATGTTACGTCAAAGATTTGTTTGAACTATTTTTTTCCGTCGGGTTTTGTTACCAAAAATTCCTCTGCTCCCATTGCCCGATCTCCCATCCATTTACACAAGCTAGTCAGATAGGGTCACCCACTCCCTCCCATCCTCTGGCATTCCTGCCCTGAGTATGACATTTCATTAAGGAGAAAAATGATAAAAATGTTAAAGTATAATTAACAAACAGAAATTATAACCCCCACCCAGACTTAACTGACTTTAAATTTGCCACACAAAGATACACTTGCTTTCTACATTCGTAAAAAAGCCAACACCCCCTTAATAAAAAAAGGGGGAATTCTCTTAACTCCACCAACTTAACTTAAAAATAGAGTAAATCTAATTTTTTCGTAAGTTATTCTTAGCATCGCTTGAGATTGGAACCGAGCTCCGAATTTTAAGTTTAAGATTTTAAGTTTTAAGTTTTAAGATTTAAGCTTCGGTTTTGAAATATTGTATTTTCTGTGTCGCGATGGAGACATATTTTTTTAAAAAAAATTAATTATAATATATGCTAAACGCAATCGTCAGGCCATGTTATCAGCCTGCAGTGGCGATCCCAACGTGCTGTAGTGTGGGGAAAAATACCACGGATTCCTTGAGAATGAAATTGGGTAAACAGAATTGTTCGGAAGGCGTTGATGGTTGTGTTAGCATGAAGTCACAAGCCATCGTGACAGAGAGTTTGAGCGTACTGGCCTTGTTCAAGATAATGCGTTCACTTCCAGCAACTGTACTTCATTTTCGCTCAGATAAGTTGCAGTATAAACCCCACCTGGGCTCATCGGGTGTTGAACAAACAGAAAAGTGCCTGAACAGCTGTCTGCAATAGGGATTGATTCATTCGTTTTCTACGGCTTATCAACCCATTACAGGTTATTTAAAGCTAGAAAATATTTTTCGATTGTAAGACTTTTTCGAGATAATAATGTAATGGTTTAGTGGTACAAGTCTTACTAATTAACCTCTAGCTGGGGGTAGGAGATGTGGATTCATACCTTCCCCAGTGGTATTGGCGCGTCAGTGAATATAACGAACCCAACGGGAACTTGAACTCGGCTTTCCGATTAACAATTCCGAGCCATTATCCATCACACCACCCGCACATCACCTGGTATTCCCAAGCGATCGCCCATCTAGATACTGACCAGACTCGAAGTTGCTTAACTTCGACGATTTTATGGAAATCGGTGTTTCAACGTTATGTGGCTTTAAGCCCTCAGCAGGGATTGGTTACCGTCCCAGCAGACGGGTGTTCTCGGAAACGTATAGCCATTATTATTATTATTATTATTTTCTTGTTATGGGGTGGGGAAAATCACACGGGATGTTCATTGGTTAGCACTTTCTCAAAGCGTATTAGTTACAGTTTCGATTGTGGGATCTGTTGTTTGGCCTTCGTCAGTCGAAATAACAGATATATATAAAGCAAGAGTGTTAGTAATAAGAAGATAGCGGTGTACGTCCGAATGGTAGGTTAACACTGTGTCTCCGCTGCTCAACCGACTCTCCTATGACTCTATATTTAACAGTCCCGCCCCCCTAGGAATGTATGTGGCACAAGGCCGAGTTTAACGTGGGTTTCTCCGAGCCCGTAGGCTCGGCCAAAAATATTCCCTTAGAACCCGCATAAGCGGGTTCGTGATCTGTCTACCTCCCCGGACGAAACTTTGCCCTTCGGCAAAGCCTCGTCCGGGTTCCTCTCTGCCAAGGCAGAGAGTTCGACAGAAGTCGCACACTGTCAGAGACTGTCTTACGACTCTACGCTAGGAAGTCTCTTAGTATTTATGAGAGGAGGAAGAGTTCATTTTACTGGAGGAGGGTTTACCACAACACACTTCTCCCTTTTTATTTTGCCATCGTAATAAATATTTGTTTCTCTGCAGAGTCTTGTGCTTTTTCGTTTTTCGCCATTCAAAATATTCTGGATAAGAGATTTGACGTTCTCACTTTTTTCTTCCAATAAATCCTTTATAAGAATAAAATAAAAAAGAATTGTGAATAATATAGTAAAATAAATTAAACAATGTTTATTGCATTTTTTGAGGGAGTATTTAAAAAGTAAACATAAAAAGAAAGCCCAACGGTTAATAAAATATGGCTCAAATAAATTTGATATGTAGAACTTTGTATAAGTTCACATCTGATATTGTAAATACCGCCAAAATGAGGACTGAAGGTTTATGAAAAAGATACATGTTTACTCATTTGGTTTTCAAATTTGTAAAAAAAGAAAAGAAAAAAGAAAAAAAAAGAGTCCCAAGTTTTATGGTTTGAAAACACGCCAAGATAAATTTGATGAACAGGCGTAGCAATAAAAAAAAGATATATTTTGAGATTTTTTAACCCAAAGGGAAAGTTGGTTATGTACCACGAATATAGATTCCAATGTGGAGCTGGTTTGAGGCTATTTAAGAAGTGGAGTTGGTCTAAGGATGAGAAGGAGTTTAGCCTTCAGGGGCGAATGACCGTGGGCTGTTTCTGAAAAATATTAAGCGGCCAAGGCAATGACAGAGAAGAAAAAGAAAAAGAAAAAGAAAAAGGAAGAAAACTGAAAGAAGATTCACAAAATTAGAGTTGTTAAACCCTAATTATGAAACTTTACATGATTTTTCGCAATAGTGAATTTCAGTTTCATGATTGAACTATTGTTTAAATTACCCGGCGACGTTTATGAGTTTGTCATCATTCTCAAAGACTGGGACTGTTGAATGTATGAAAGTGGGTATTTTTAGACTCCCGCCCCAAAAAAATATAATTGTTTTTACTTTTTATAAGCTTTACAAATTGTAATTTTAGAACTTGTTATCTTGTCTAATTGTAGGGCGCATAAATTTAGTACAAACTTGTATTTTGAACCTTGTATTCTGTTTTATTATATTTTTTATGTAATGTAATAAATGTTTGTTTCTTTCAAATTTCACATTGGCTTTAGTTTTCATTTGTGCCTTTCACAAAACTCGTCTAGAAGAGACGTGACTTTCCTACTTCTCTGCTCCCCACTTCAAATAAAATCCTTTTACTTTTTATACTTTCAGTAAAAGGATTTTATTGGAAGAGGAGGAGGAGGAGAGATAACGTTGCGTCTCTTATCCCGAATATTGTGAAAGGCACAAATGAAAACAAAATAAGACACTGCAATTCGATGTGAAACTGGAAAGAAATTTACATTTATTAATTGGCACAAAACGGTAAAACAAAATAAAAATTTACAAGACAAATTTACACGAAATGTTCCTTTGTGTGCTCTACAATTAGACAAGATAACAAGTTCTATACTAATATATATTAGGCTCATAAAAAGTAAAAAAGATTATAGTTTTTTCAAAGAAATATTAAGTTACTTTCATGTATTCAACAGTCGAAGATTTTTTGAGAAGGATTACAAATTCACAAGCGTCACTGGGTAACTTAAATAGTTCAGGTTTTATACTGAAATTTAATATTGAAATAAATATAATTTTTTTTATATAAAAGTTTCAAATCGGGGTTACTGCTTCTAATTTCGAGAATCTTGGTTCATTTTTTTTTTATTTTGATCGAGCTAATTAACGCTAAATGAGTTTGCGATGAAGTTTTTGCGGTAACGTCCTACTGAAGAACCGAATCTCGACTAGTTTTAAATGATGTTTTCACAAAAATTACAAATATGAATATTTTTTAATTTTATTTTGTCACTTTTATTTCAGAATTTATTGCCATTACAGAAGAAATCGTGAGAGTGAATGAAAATTAAGTTAGATGTGTTTTAAAAAATGGAATCCATGATATCACGGTTTACCTCCCTTACATCAAATAATTACCACATCTACAGTTATCTCCCTTAGATCATAGCATTAATAAATATATCAAAATCTTTTTCTTGGTAAATGTTTCCCCGATACAAGACACAAGAGCCCCTCGTGGTTGGTTGCTCATTGAAGTATGGACGTAAGAAGTGAAAGTTTGTGAACATTATGAGTATATGTGGGATAGATAATTGTTGATACTAGACATGAAGAGGCTAGTGTTTGGGGAAGCATCCTTCCATAAAGTAGCGGTTCTCGAGTAGAAGCTGTCTGAGTGGAGCTTACCAATAGAACGCAGGAAATACGGATGATTTGGTCTTGTGTAGGTAAAACATCATTGATCTTAAATGTAGATCGTCTGAAAATGTTTCACAAAAATAACGACATAATAGGTTGGTGCATAATTATCAGGCGTTTTTGTAGACGAGTTTTTTTTTTTGTTAATAAAAATTGCTGTTTTGTTTACTTTCTTTTTTAATAAAATTATTATTTTATTTTCAGGTTATAAAAATGTGTGTCGATAATCATACGTTCCGGAATAATCATTTAAAAATGTTATTGTTGAATTGTTATGTTTCTTTTTTTCATAATAGATATTATTTAGAAAACGCCTGATAATTATGCACCAACCCAATACTAATAACAGACACAACTTTATTGTTTTTTTTACAACGATGTTCACACTCGAGGTAGAGGGTATCAGATACATATGTGGGGGAGATAACGGTTAAACATAGACTTAAAAAAGTTAATATTATAGTGATCGAGAAAAAACCCCTACCTGGGTGTTGCTTTCATAGAGAAAAGGTTCACGGGAAGAAGCTGTTCGGGTGAAACTTACATACCACTAATGGAATACAAAGGGAATACGGGTGGTTCGCTTCAATGTACGTAGCAGGGTGTTTTAGCTGTGAAAGAATTGGGGTGGGACTAAGGTATGTTCATCTGAACACTTTCCATGGAAATAGCGATAGGGCAGCGAGAGACGTGCGATATTTCGTCTGCGAGAAAGGGATTGCAGGGAGGAAAATAACTTGTCACCTGGTAAGTGAAAACTGGACAGCTCTTGCCCATATATGGCAGTAGTACACCATTTTAGGGCATGACCTGGCTCTTGTAAACGGAAAGAAAAAGCACGAGGAGTCATGTTCTTACTGGAGCGGTACAGAAAACTGACCATTTTTCCAGCGAGTCGTATGTACGAGTTCCATTTGAGGTCTGGGTTTAGTGTAAGTCTCAATAGGCGCTCAAGACACGGGGATATATATATATATATATATATATATATATATATATATATATATATATATATATATATATATATAAATATGGTCCAGGTTAGGACCAAGGAAGAACAACAAGAACACAAGAGTAGAAATAACGAAGGTATATTACACGAAATAATAAAAGAAGTGGAAGGTGTTCGACAGCCTGTTTCATGCTAGACGCAATCGTTAGCCTGATTGTATGAAACAGTGTGTCGCCTCTGAGCTTTGACTTCAATGTTCACTTTTATATTTATATTTACATACTCTCTATCTCTGATATTGAGCACTTTATCCCATATACCTTAAAACTATATTTCTTCATATATATATATATATATATATATATATAATGATTTTTGTGATTCAATGAATACTCGTTGCCACTTTTGTGATGTCACTTTTGTAATGCTCGTTGTAGTGGAGACTTTGTAATCGCAGATACAACTATAGTAACGCCATTGAACAATACTAGTGTCAGATGCTTTCGAATAACATTCGCAGTAATAGTACTTGCTCGATAATACTCGCTCGAATAGTAATAGTAGTGATCCGAATAGAGAAATAGTATTGTGAATATAGTAGAAGATAGTAGTCTATATAGTAACAGAGGATAGACTAGAAATGGCGATCAATTCGACGCACACTACCTCCCATATATGCGTTTTCTCTATGATCACTTGGTTCACTTAATTTAATAATAGATCGCCTATGTTTGCTCGCTGGCGATCTATGTTCAAACTCAAGTGTCGGCAGCGACACTTTATTGCTATATAACAATGATAAATTAAGAAAACACCTTCGGTTCGTGAGAAGAAGCTACTCAAGTGGAAGTTATATCTCACTAATAGAGTACCAATTCGCTACGATCTGCATAGCATAGGGTAGGGGCTCAGGATCGTGAAGGTTAGAATTGGTAGAACTAAGGAATATAGCTCGTCTGAGGACTTTCCATGGGAATAATCTATAGAGCAGTGAGAGATTTGCGACGTCTACGAGAAAGGGATTATAGAGTGAAAAATAATTTGTCAGCCACAAAGATACCGAGACGCTTTTCGATTCTATGGAGACAGGAAAGTGAAGACAAAGCAGCTCATGCCCAAATATGTCAACAGTACTGTATCAAAGCTGTCAAGGAACAGTCCAGA